AGGACAGCTGTGCATCGTTTTTTTAAAACCAATACAACACTAGATGCTGTCTTAGAGAATTTATAGCCAAAATTGTGTGGAACGTGGCAGAGAATAAAGCACTCAGGAGGAACAAGAAAGATCATGAGATCAGCATACAGCTGTGTGCACCACTTCTGTGCCCCTTTTGCTTGTTAAACTAGTATTTTAAGAGGAAAGATTCATTGTCGTGAAAGTACAAATGTGCAGATTAGTGGTAGAAAGCAAACTGAGCAAGGCTGACTTCTGTTTTGAAGGCAGATTTGAGGGATAAGAAGAAGCGATCTTTGCAAAGAGCATAGGGAAGCTATCTGAAGCACAGTTGGCACCACAGGGGGGATGAGGAGGGACAAGGTGAGACCAGGCTCTCCTGAACGGCGATGTATTATGCCAGTTCTGTTGGGGATGGCGGCCACTTGCGAAGGGCATAACCTCCAAAAATGCTGGGTATGCCCAGTTTTCACTTGAGCAAAGAGGAGCTCTGTGCCACGCTCCTGAGCTGTATATAACCAGTTTGGAAATAACACCTTGTGCTCCCTTACCAGGGAGCATGGGAGCGTGCAAGGAGTGAGTGTTGCCACGTTCATCAGGCCGGTGTTCATCATGGGTTTCAGGAGCCAGATTTCCACAAACTAGTCTCAAGCAATTTATTATAAATTTTGAGGGAAGTCTTGTATCTCAGGATGATGGTATCTTAATGTACATTTTATCCTAGTTCTTACCTTTCCTGGAAAGGCACTAAACAGCTGTACCATGATAGTACTAGCTGTACCATGCAGCACCCAGTGGCCTTGATTTCATGGCCAGAGTGGTGTAGGGGCTTCTGAAGCATTTTCCTAAATGCTGTGATTCTTCATCTTCTGGTTAAGATTATTGCCTTGTTTAAATTGAGATCTGATTTACAGTGAGCGGCAGTGTTTATAAAAGTAAAGTTATTTCTGTTTTGATAAATAATAATACATAAATGATAACCATTTAGGGACAAGTGAATCCTAACTATGCATTTCTAGAATAAAATGTGAACTATTTTTATCCTGATCTTGAGTCAAAACGTTCACTTTTATATTCACTATAACGAGAAAAAAAATACTTTTATTTTGCATTTTTTAAGGCCAGGTTGTCATCACCTAAATTGAAATTTGAAGAAGCTTGGTTTCTTCTCAGTGAAAATTAAGAGTTGTGAAGACTTCAGTTTTTATGTCTTTTAAAAAGTGAGTCATGCAAGTACAGCATCTAACATCATGAAGGCTCTTGCTGTCTAAGTAGTAATTCAGGGTGGAAACACTGCAAAAAGGATGAACAGTACTTCTCCTGGCACCACCTCCATGCCCCTAGAAGCCCTCTATCAAAGTATTGCTGGGATTTTGTCTTGCAGGGACTGTGTCCTCTGACCCTTATCCAAGAAATCACTGATGCACAATTTTTTAACCCAAAATTGTTCTGTTAATTTTATTGGATTACTCACAAAGTGGAAGCTGAATACATACCTAAAATGCATTTCTGGATCACTGCTTGTACGCCCTTAGGCATCCCATTGTATTGGCTTTGTGCAGTCTTCAGGATAAAATACAAGCCACATTTCTGCCAAGGAAGAGCCAGAAATATTCATTTGTATGGACAAATTTTGCTTCTGGATTGTAGTCTGGGTAGATTCTTTAAATTGATCTTCATCTCTGGAAATGACCATACTGTTTATTTAACGCATAGATGTTCATTTAATTACGTATACAATGTAAAAAAAAAGTGATTTTACAAAGAAGTAAGAACATTAATATTCCTAAACAATCTTAACAGCTGACTTTGGACTCTCCAAGATTGTGGAAGATCAGGTGACCATGAAGACAGTTTGTGGAACTCCAGGGTACTGTGGTACGTTGTTTTATTATTTACAGTATGCTGCACTTTATGTGAGGGTGTTACATTTGCTTTTGTTACAAATTTGTTACAAATGCTTCTTCCTAAAGTCAAAATTCAAAAAGCCCCTAAAAAGCAGAAATAAAAAGCTAAAATTTAGAACTGGCACTGGGTTAAATTTTTCTAAATTCATATTCTCTAGCACTGAAGCTTAATAATCAAAACATATGTTATGGTGCAAGTTCACTACTTGCATGGAAATAAGTTCAACCATTGTAAAAATGCTGAAATTACTAAAATAATACTGGAGAGGCATCGGCAGAAATTTGGACTATGAAAGGCATAATGGGAAAGACTAAAAATTTATAGAGTTCATAACAATTATGAATATTTGAAATTGCTTACAGTGAATTTATCTTAAAGTAATTTTTTTTAACATAGAGGAAATCAAATTATTGCTTAGAGTGGAGTCATAAATTAATCCCCTAAACCCAAAACGTTTCAGCAAATACATGGTTTTAAATGCAGGCTTGTCTCAGACCATTCTGGTCCACGCTGGCGTGGGACCTGTATAACAGAATTATGAGTGCATTATCAAGGAGCTCTTTGTGGCACATCTTGTGAACTGGGGTGACTGGTGTAGATCTAGTCATCTCTTTCAGCAGTAAAAAGGCTTTGGCACTTTTAAGTAATCCTCTCTTCTCCTAAACAAAATAAGAACAAAATCATAGGTTTGCTTCAGTTTTACCAACAGAGTGAGAGTCAGCATGAACTGCTGCTTACCAAAATGACTAATTTGCCTGTGCATTCACAGTACTTTAACAAGCATGAGTTTGTGGATGACTTCAGAGCAAAGATCTAACTCATGAGCTTAGCACTGTATTACACAAGGATGGCAATTTTAATTCCTTTAGTAATTTAGAAATTAAGAAATTCTATACTGGGTTTATATTTTTCAGTTGGTGGACTTTAAGGATACTTTCTACTTGTTTAACTGTGGAAGTTGTGCACAAAGTTTAGAAACTGTGTTTTGTCTCAGTTGTCCTGTTCTTACATGTTTCTGTTTTTTCCAAAATCACAGCTAGTTCATGCTTCTCAGTCTTGTAGCTTTTAATAATGTAAGGCAACTAATTTGAATGCAAGAAAACCACCACTGATACTTCAAATTAAAACAAATTTCCATAGAATCACATTTAGGTAAAAATATGTTCCCTCACTGTCATATGGGAGAGTGAGGTTTTGATAAGCAGGTGAGAAAACATAGTACTGGTACCAGTTCGTGAATAATTAGGAATGTGGGTTTTGTCTCCATTGCTCTGGGGAGAAAATAAGTGGGGCAGAGAGTGAACACCACAATTGCCGTACACATAACATTTGGCAAACAATGCCATAGCTGTGCTGTATGTCAGATATCAGTAATCCAAAGGGGATATAACTAAAACCAACCCCCAAAAAATCCAGAATCTAAAAACAGAGTTCAAGCACATAACGTGCCACAGTAGGGAGAAAGCAAACATACAACTGATTTTGAAAAAAATAATTAAAAAGGTGCTGCCGAGCCCCAGAGGCCATTCCCTCGTGGGGCCGGAGCATTCCTCTCTGCCCACGGGGTTGCGGTGGGAGCTCATCCTACTGCAGGTGGGGATGCACCCAGCCTGGCCAGCCCCTGCACACAGCAGACTTTTCTTCAGCAGCAGTGTCCCCAGGTCGGAGGGGATGGCACGGACCTGTGGGATGCTCCGTCCCTGCAGAGAGCCTCTGGCCTGCCTGTGGGTGGGTGGTCTGCGGAGCAGGGCAGACCTCTGGTGAGTTCTGGCTCAGTTTCCTGTGGCGGTGCCGAGCCATGCAAGGCTGAGCAGCCAGCAGCTGGACAGAGCCTCGCACACTGCCTGGCAGCTTTCAGCAGGGCATCCCATGCATGCTGTTGGGCTCCTGATACAGCACCCTTGTGCACAGCTTCACTGTCAGAGCAGGGACAGCTAGCTCCTGGATATATGCAGAAGCTTGCCAGGACTCCCGGAACCAGAACATGAACCAGAAATGGATCCTCCAATGCCAGAACATGCAAAAAAAGGAGCCCCTCTGGCAAAAGAGGATTGCAGCTGCCTCTGCAGTCTGCTTACCCTTTATTGAAGGCACTCCCATGTCAGCAAACCAGCTAATCACCAGGGAGGCTGGTGATCTTGTTTATACCAGGGTAAGCCTGCTGGGCTTCCCATGGTGGATGCTCACCTCCAGCAACCAACGTGATCTTGTGGAGAAACCTATTTCTGCCATTCTTGCTGAACTCTAGATCCTGAATGGGCTCCTGCAAGAGGCTGCAAGTTGCTAGCAGTGTGCTGGGTGGTAAGCATCTCGGGTAGTTTTGGACAGAGCTGAGCCAAGCCATTTGAAACTAAAGACGTGGCATTTGCTTTTATGACTGTAGAAGCAAAGGAAAGAGGACATTGGAGAAGACCGTAAGATTACTCTGTTACCTCATAGCACAGCTGATAATGCAATTCAGGTGACATGTCCATTACCTTGTATGACATTCTCTACCAAGCACACACAGGTGCCAAGTATGCTTTAGAGTAGCACTGAATTCCAGTCTGCTTAGTTTTATAAAACTGTACTTCACATACTAGCTATTAATGTTCTAGTTGTCTTCTCTCATGACAGTTACATTACAAATGCTGTAAAACTGTAGTTAGTATTTAGCCCTTTTTATGCCTGTCTTTACTGGCATACTGTCTACTTACTATAAAAATAGGATAAGGCTTACTCCCATAGAAGAGCCCTCAGAGTAGGGATGACTTGTTGGGGAGGGTTGAGGCTGAATGTCTGTGCTGAGAAGAGAAGAAAGGAGCTTTGTGCCTACAGACATGGACCTGCAATCCTTCCTTTACAACCCAAGTTAACTGGCCATGCAGAATTCCTGGTGGCTGGAAAATATTCAAGCATTACTTTCCAGAAGTGGAGGAAACCTAGAAGGAATACTGTTGAAATGCCAAATTAAACTATGAATAATTGATAGTCACAGGCTGCCAACTCCCACATCCTGCCCACCCAGCTATCAGCAGCTTCTCCAGAAAGGACACAGCAACAAAAACACATACTGGAGTCTGGATACTTTGGCATCAAGACTTACCAATCTACAGTTCCTGGGACGTGTAAAGCGATGCAGAGGACTGAAAGCAAGAAGATGGTCACAAAGAACTTAACTTGCTGAGACGTTGTGCTTTCAGTGAACTTAACAAGAAGGGCGTAAGTGATTTCTGACAGTAGCACATAAAAATAAGCCAGTGCAGGGCAGTGATTCATGATCAGTCTGTCACAACCAACATCTAAACTAACTGCAACGTATCAGTCAAATCCATTCACCAAAAGCAAGCTTCTGGAAATATTAAAAAGTCGTATTTACAAGGTGTATAACTGCGTAATCCACACAGTCCAGGTAGCAAGGCAGCCCTGTATATGCAAATCTTTGGTCTCCTTTGTGGCCATTTTACAATACTGAGGTAGAAGGAGGAGAAAAGTGAAAGAAGGGCAGAAAGTGTCTTCTGCCCTTATCCTGACCAAAAAGACATCCCAAGAAACATTGCGTTCTCTAGAAGAGGAAGCATATTGGCCATTAAACAGAAAAACTGTCCTATTTACTTCAGAACCCCCCACATGGCATTAACAAACATGTCAGGGAGAATGGTGGTTAACAGCTCTTTTCTTGGTCCGTCTCAATCTCTTTCTCGGAGGCCATTGGCTGCTTCGCCTGTAGTCTGTCCTGTTAGCTACAGGTTAACCTGAGTTAAAATCATTTGGCATCTAGTGTTCCTTCTCAAAAACAGCCCCTCTCTGTTCATCAGTTTACCTAGCAGAAGAATAAGGAGGCAGGGAATGTCTGTGCTTAGACGGGCAAGCGTTTGCCCAGCTGCCAGCTGTACGAGTGGTATGTAGCAAACTTAGTGATTAACGTCCTTTGCCTTCTATATTAATGCTTTGTAAAAACGCTTGATGTGTTCCCTGCATGGTAAATCCTTCAGGTAAGTTGAAGAAGCCTGAGCCAGCTGCCTGGAGGCCGTTAGGGAGTTGTGTATACTCACTCTGATTAAAATCATGCTTGGGGGAGCCTGGCTTCCCCGGGATGTTGCAGCACATGCCTCGGGAGAGCTAGCTGCCCCAGTGGAGACTTCCCACAGGCTGGGAGCAAAGCAGGAGCGTGCCAGCAGCCTGAGTCAGTCCGGAGGGGCAACCAAAACTTCAGGCTGAGCAGGGAGCTGTCACACATTTCGGGAAGCCCCAGCCCTTCTTGGCCCTGAGCATGAGGGGCCATGAACAGCACTCATGGCTGTGAAAATGTGATGTGGGAAGGTGAAGAGATGCGTACGTGCTGCAGCATTGATGCAGCAAGTCCACTGTGCCCCAGAAATGTGGCAGCCATCCCACATGCATCATAGAGCAGGTGGGCTCAGGGGCTGTGCTGCCAACCCGTGCATCTGATGGATATTAATACAGATACAATGGTTGCTGAGAAGAAGGGCTACTGATGCATGGAAGTGTGGCTCAGCAGTGTCTTTTTAATTGCTTTTTCCAAATTAGTTGGGTATTTTTGTCTGTGGCCAAAAGGTGAGGGAGGGAAGGGTCTTGCCTCCACCAGTATCAAGCACTTCCATTTCCTCCTCTGGAGATATGGCATTTTCATCCTGCTGCCTCAGGAGCTTTGCCCAGGGTGGTTTGCCCAGTCAGAGGCAAACCTCGAGGGTGCACAGAGCTACGAGCTCTGGGAGCACGGGGGACGGAGGTGCTTGAGGTAGGCATGTCACAGTTTGAATGTGCAACCGTGCACATTTTTACTCACACACAGCAGCAACACATACTGTCTGAGGGATACAGTGGTCTGCTCAGCTTTCCTCAAGGTGTGTCTGTCAGGCTGCTTGGGCAGAGATTAACTCCTCTTTACTGTTGCAGAGCCGGAGTCACCGAGACTGCTGGGCCTTTCTGCCTTCTCCGCACTGCAGCAAAAGCAATTGCCTGAAATGGTCTTGTCTTTCCTTACAATTAAAACAGAATACCAGAAATAAAGCCCAAATAAAGTACCAAGTAAATAAGTAAAATACTGATGTAAAAGTACCACCTCCTTTGTCACATTGCAGCTCCAGTTACTGCTGTAACTTTCTGTAGTTCCTTTCACAAACCTAAACCTAAAAAGCAATTTGAAACTGAAGTCCGCTTTTCATTTTATTCTGGCTGTGCTTGGACACGACTTCTGTTGCTTTATACTCAGTGAAGGGAATCCTTTGCCTAATTTAGGAACATTAAAGAAACAGGCCCTAACTTTTTAAAAGACTCTTACGAGTGTGCACGGAGTTTAAATTGACTTTGTGACTGTTATTTCTGCATTCAACTTTCATCTTATTGACAAGTGTTTTATCATCTGCAGCACCAGAGATACTACGGGGATGTGCCTATGGCCCTGAGGTGGACATGTGGTCTCTGGGGATCATCACCTACATCCTGTAAGTGCAGACAGTGCCACAGAGTGGTTCATTTGTGAGCACCTGCAGGTTTTTATGACGTTATGAGCTGTGCCGTTGGAAGACAGGAATTTTAATTATGATATTCCTAATCTTATTTAAGTAAGTCAAATCCTAGAGGAACATGGCAAAATGCTCAGGTTATATATTTGATAAATATAACACTTCTTCCTGAACAGTAGCAAGGTCTGCGCAGAATCGTACTATTAATGTGAATGATAGCAGCGAAGCTGCTGAAAGCAAAAATACAAGCATACGAGTGTCAGAAAGCATCGTATGTTTTTTTCTCATTCTCTCATTCACACAAACTGTGAGGCATACTATGATCCTAAGAAGCTTCTCAACTACAGATGGGGCAAGGAGAAGTTAAGGTGTTTGCAGTAGTTTCACAGTGCCTGTGAATATTCCCAAATGCAGCTGCCCCATCTCTGTCAGCCACACACCCTGCTACAGCTTCAACTGCAGCATCAGTGTTGCTGTCCCACAGCATCTCAGCCAGCAGGCAGGGAACAGCCCTGGACTCTGTCTGCAAATCAATCCGATGGGCTGAATGATTAATGTTGAATTGTTCCACTTCTTACAAGGTAACCAGAGACACTGGTGACAGAGGGCTGTGAGCGATGCTGGCCATACATATTTTAAACAGTTGAAGTTGCAACTATAGACCAAAATTTTCAAACAGTTGTGTCTAAAGGTAGGCACTTGTGTCAGTATCTTAATATGGCTAGTCCTAATTCAATTGGTAAGCATTGTAATTTTTTTATTGTATTGATCTTTCAAAGGAAGATTATTGAGAAGGGAAAATTGTATCTGATGTATTGACACTTCTCTTTGTGGGAGAATAAATAACTGCATTTATTCCCTTGGCAACACCAATGCTAAGCTGGCTTGTGTATACGATACTTGTGGGATGCCTTTTGTGGGAAGAAAATGGGATTTTACACATATAGATTAAAGATGTGGAGGATTTTATACATCCGGGCCATTTTCTTTCCCCCCCTAGGACTCAGTAACTGTGTCCAGCAAGTACAGTATGTAGTAATAAAATTATTTTCTGTTATGTCTTTTGCAAAGAAAGAATTACATTTTCTGGGGTTTACACTAAAAGTACTTGTAAGGATATATAAACACTCTGATGGAAATTCCAGAAAACATCTTTTGTTCTGTATGTAAGCTTTAAATAAGTGACAGCTCTCCTTTTGGGTGCCTGTAAATGATAGGCTACAATATTCCTATTTGCCATTTTGTTATCTGCTCCTTTTAAAATGTGAATCTTTGCCTCAAGGCCTGGTTCAAGTCTGTAGAAGATCACATCTCAGATACTTCCTGCCAGTTCTAGTGGTCCACACGTGACAGAGAGATGTGCTTTGCCATCTTTGCCCTTTACAAAGGTATCTAGATTAAGCCATGAGCTTGCCTAGTTATTCAACAACTGAGGGATAGCTGTTGTACTCGAAACTGAGAGCTTTCCTTAAGTAGAACTTTCTTTAAAGTGTAGGCAAGCTCCAAGCAAGAATGTACAGCAAATTCCTACTTGAATATATGGAGTGGCATTTGCTATACGCAGCCTTTCAAAACCTCCCAAGCCACATTAAACCTCTGCACTGGTGTAAACAAAAGTGTGTGAGCTCCTGCTCTGGGTGGGACACCACTGGTACAGATACTCCTCTACTTCTTCCTCCTTCTGTTCCTCTCCTCCTCCCCTCTTGAAATCCAATTTGACCTACAGGAGCAAGCCAGGCAAAAAGGGCGCTAGTCGAGTCCACTTGGCCATCTCTTCTATTAGCTTTAATAATACTCCACATTTAAAACTCTTCTATTGAGTGTAAAGCTTTGTATGTCAACATTTCTGATGGGTTAGAAGCTGAGAACAAAAGGTACATGTACAGTAACTAATTGATTAATCCTGCAGCCTCAAGGACAGTGTTGCATGTCTCAGTCTCATAGTTTAGTAAAGGGAATGCACTTATGTACAGTCAAAAAAACACATTGTTGTATGCGCCTCCAAAATAGAGTGTATTTAAGAGTTAACTACCGTGCTACAGGAGACGTGCATAAAACTGTATCTTCTCACCAATACAAAGTGGACTTAACATGTGATTAAGAAAACCTTTGACACATATTTTGACTGAACAATTATTCCTGAGGCCAATTATTTTAAGACCTATTGATTATAACTGTCATAATTCCAAGGAAGCCCCATTTATAGTTTTAACAGCAAAGAGTACCAGTCCTTTTGTATTCCTGCAGCAAGTTAGAAACGCAAGTGCACATTTGAGATGCAGATAGTGGTCGACAAATACAGAGGCTTTGCCTGTAGTCAAAATTGCATGGATTTAATTAAAGGTGTTTTTTTACTAACTTACTTAAAAGGGCATAAAACACTGTCTGGTCATTTCTAATTGATTTTGAAGCTGTTTACATTGATTTTTCTTTATTTGGTAGGTAATTGATTTAAAATGAATCAGCATAATCCTGATTTAAATGAAATCAAGAGCAGCCGTGCTGGGTCTTACCCTGGTTTAATTTACCTAATTTGAAATCACACCTCTAGTTTTATTCATCTAATCTGTCTGCTGAAGTTAAATTTTTTTTAGCTAGAAGCGTATCCATAGAAATTGTTAATAAGACAAAAATAGGTGATAGTAGTGAGTTACGATGAAAATATTTTTAGAAGTAAATAGAGAATCACTTAGAAGACTTCAAACACAGTCACAGCAAGTCTTAAGCAATGGTCTCACTGTATGTGATCAGTTACCTGGTATTCAGAGCCAGTTTTGGCTGAACCATTTAGTGGCCCAACAACCCTGCTCAGCAAAAGTGCTCCGTGGGGATAGGAGCCAACCTGAAGCAAGTTCAGAAATGGTGGTGGGAGAGGCAGGCAAACAGGAGGGGAGCAGCAGGGGGACCGTGGCTGGCTTCCACCTACTGAAGCACACGGTACTTGGAGGTTGGATCCTTGTGTTTTAACCCATCTCTGCCAAACTTGGAAATTAATGACACAGCCAGAATGTGCTTACAGTGGAGTTTTTCAGCAGTGCACAGTGATGCAGCTGTTCCACCCATGGCTACACACCACCCTCAGAAACACATTTCTTCCTTGAACATCTGTCTCCTTTTTCTGGACAGTAAGCACACTGGTTGGGTTTAAAAATATAAGAACAAGTTAAAATGTAAGGTTAAATTTTCTAGATTTGTTGCTGTCTTATTCTTTATGGTCTGCTGTTCTTTTCCTGTCATCATCTCATTGCTTGTTGCATTTTCTGGAGGCAGAGTAGCAGATAGACTTTCTGTTTAGCTCAGAACACGTACTGGTTGAATAGGAAATTCACTTTAAAACATCTGATTATGTGTGCAGGCATGATTAAAGTGCAATGAAGCGACAAAAAAGGACATTATATAAATGGAAACCACTTCTATGAGTTTGCTTTCCCCAGGGCCAGCTGTGTGGATCTGTGTCAGGATCTGTATTATTCAATATATTCATAAATGCAGTCATTAGTGAGATTACAAAATTTCTTGATAATATGTAGGTTACCTAGGTGAGGATGAGGGCTGATTATTAAAACCTGCCAGAGGTTTTAATAACATACAGTGATGAACATAATCAAAAAACAGTCCTAACTGGACATATAAAAATTTGTAACTTCACAAGTAAAGTGTGGTTCCTCAGCTAATTCCTACCTCTCAGGAAAGAGTTACAGGGATTCTGATAATTCCTCTATGAACATGTTAACTCTGTGCTTGTAAACAGTCCAGAAAACCAGATCCAAGGTCAAGAATTGTTAGCAAAGAAATGGAGATTAAAATAGAAAACATCATTATGCTAATTTGCAACTCCGTGGTGTGCCCACACTGAATGGTGTTTGCACCCACTTTAAAAAGACACGCGGCTGGAGAAGACTCACAGAAGAAAGCAGGGATGAGCAAAGTTTCAGACTGAGGAATGACTAAATAGTCCAAGGCACTTCAGCCTGAGACCAGAAGAGCAAAGAGCTGCTAGAAAATACTTATTGGCATGTAGAAGGTAAACAGGTATCAACTGTTGCATGGCTATTCTTATGTTAAGTCCCTATATTAATAGTTCCAATTTCCATGTGAAAATGGAAAATTTACAATTTGATCAGCCTTTCCCAGAGCTTATGAGTGCTTATGGCCACATTTTGCTCTGCTCTGTAGAATTAGGAATTCGTAAGTATATCCAGGTCTCGTTTCCAAAGTGGAGTACAGGACACAAAGTAGGGAATGAGAATACCAGGAACTGTTTCTAACAGCCCAAGACTAATTAATCTTTGATAAATTTCTTTCTTTGTTATCCTTTCAGACTTTGTGGCTTTGAACCATTTTATGATGAAAGGGGAGATCAGTACATGTTTAAGAGAATCCTGAACTGTGAATATGACTTTGTGTCCCCCTGGTGGGATGATGTGTCTCTGAATGCCAAGGACTTAGTAAGTAAAGCAAAAATGAGACTGGAGTATCTTTGCTGATATGATTTGGCTCGTATCACTTCCACTGAGAAAAAAAGTCCATTTTGGGGTGGGGTCAGAATAATTGGTTAATTAATTATTCATATGGCTCCTTGCTTTTCTTCTTCTTATCTCTGGTATATTATGGTGCTGTTAAATATCCACTGTTAGTCCAGTGCTGTAATTTTGCACTCAAAACCATGGATGTTCAGGTCCTTCTGTGAACTAAGCCACAAATTGTTGGCAGCTGTCACAGTGTTCATGTATGCCTACTTTTCATGCTAGCTCTGAGGTGTTTCGTCATTCCTCTTTGCAGGGCAACCACCTTCAGGGGAACATAGAAACAAGCCCTGTATTTTATGCAGTTTTCAAGTCTGAACTTTGGAGGAAGAATATAAAAAGGAGTGAAGCCCCTCCCCCACTTTTGCTGACAGCTTTTTTCTGTCCATTTAAGCTTTTTCTCAGTAGATGAGGAAAGACTCATTACTTTTCAATATGGTCCATAAGCAAAATGCAAGGGCTGGCATGCTATCTGCACTGTATTCTTTTTTTACTGGATAAAGGATCCAGGCGACACTGATCTGCGAAGATATGTATGTTTGAGTTTGATTTTTAGTCAAGAATAACTTGCACAATTCAGTTATTTCATTAGCACTGAAGACACAAATGCTCAGTTCCATATTGCTTATACAAACTGTGCCATAAAATACCACATAATTAGTGTTTGTAAAGTACTTTAGGATGCCTCAAATGGAAGGACTGTAGAAGTTCAAAGTACTTTCTTGTTGTTGTATTAGATGTGAAGTTTTTCTAAGGTCAAAAAAATACCATTTACTTCCTTTTGTCATCAAAACCCAGATAAACAGCAGCCAGCATCAAAGCTGCTCTTTATTGTATACAGAGAGCTTTGGTCCAAACTGGTTCCTACCATTTTGTTACAGTAAAGCTCAGAGTTTCAGGTTTGAACACTGTTTAGCAAGTTGTAAGTAAGGATGAAGCCCGTGGCTCTCAAAACCCATGCTGTGGGCAGTTCTGGGGTGTTCATTTGTCTTGTGTGGACACACAGTGGGTATTCATCACGATGACTGTTCTTCTGCACCTACTTCAGTGCACTGTCTTTCTTTAATAGCTTTTTGTGAGGAAATTTCAGAGAGCCCTAAAGCGAGTCCTCCCCTCACGCTTGGGCACATGGCAGTGGTGGAGCCCTGTGCCATCACTTGCACTCTGCTCCAAGAGTGTGCAGTCAGGAGAGTTGCATAAGTGTGGCTCTGCTGAGTACCATCCGTGTACTTCTTTACTCCATCCTCACCCTTCTTTTTTTAAAAAACATCACTTGTCCAGACACACAGCAAAACCCATGAAATGCAGCTTGCCTGGACACACTTTGTACCTAGCAGTTTGTACCACTGATGTCCCAAAAATGTCCTACTGTTGTGTTTGGAGAGGTGCAGCTTCCCTGGTCTCAATAGCAGAAAGAATGGCATAAACAGCATTAGTTTCAGAGTGAGCTAAGAGAGAAATACTTGTACAGTACTTTTTAACTCACGTGTACATGCGGTTTTACGGTGACTGAAAGAAACACTTCATTTGTGATGTACCTGGCAGTGACTGCATAGTACAAGTCTGCATGAGTTACATACACTAGAATTTAAACTTTCTAACCCAACTTAAACCTTGTCCAAATCCAAAAGTGGTGATACTGCTAAGATAACTGCCTGGCTGGGGGTATTTTGAGCATCTCTTAGGGTATATGTCACAATTCAGACATACAAGAGCCTATGGTGGATTCAGGCCACCTGCATTGGTACATCCTCTTTCAAATGTTGGTAACCAGTTGATTCTTTTCCTCCTCTCTTCCCCCTTAGTGGCTGTCTTATTCAGATATTTTTTATGGAGGACCAAGAAATGCCAGAAACAAAATATGTGCAAAGACCTGTACACAAATTCTTGTTGGTTTCTTAGAATGTGTTTCACTAAGGCACTTTTCAAACGAAGACTGAAACTCCAAAATGCAAAGCTTGTTAATGTAAATGAAGAATAAGGTTAACAGTCTTCTGTATTTCTTCCATGTGATGCAGGTTAAAAAGTTGATTGTTTTAGACCCCAAGAAACGCCTCACCACTCTACAGGCTTTGCAGCACCCATGGGTTACAGGGAAGGCAGCAAACTTTGCACACATGGACAATGCACAAAAGAAACTTCAAGAATTCAATGCTCGGCGTAAACTTAAGGCAAGTATCTGGACATAATCTCTGTTTTGGCTATGAAAGCATGCAATTAAATTAGTAGCCTTGCACAAACCTTGCACACTTTTCAGGACAACATTCCATAGTGGTGTGAAAACTTTTTATTTAAGATGACTGATGAAGATGAAAAAGTTGAAGCTGATTTAGTCGATGTCTGCAGCCAAACAAATAAAAATGTGAGGTTGATTGAAAACTCTATCTACACAGAACGAACTGCTGAGAATGTACACAACTTTCGCAAATTCCTTACCTTCCTTCCTTCCTTTCTTCCCTTCTTCCTTCCTTGCTTCTGTCCATCCATGTCCTGTACTGCTTGTGCGTCCTTAGAGTATTGACCAGAAAGAGCAAAATTCTGAGTAGTTCCTTCATGAGCATCCATAAATCTGGAAGATATTTAATCTACTGTAGCATATTTTGATCTATAAGCCACCCTCAGTTTCTATACCTATCAATACAAAGCAGGAGCTTAAGCCATCCTTCTGTATGATCTAGAGTCAGCAATTCAGATGTGTAGGTCCACAAAATGTGTGGGCTGAGATTAACAGGCCCAAAACATGCATTTCCAAGTACCTCTGAAAGCAAATGTGCAATAGCATTCTTTATCTGGAAATAGCGCTGCAAGGCAGGAGTGCAGGTGGGACCTGTGCTGAAAATAACATTAGGTTTTGAGTCACCAATATGCTCCTTTACCATCTGGTCTACATATCTACCATGGGAAGGAGCGGGGAAACATTTTTAGGTGCAAACGACAGGCAGCTGGGCATCTAACTGACATAACACTGGGAAACTTTCTTCTCCCCTAATCCTTTCCTCAGTTGTTAAAGATTTGTGTCTGCTTAGGAGAGACTTCCAGGGATACTTCAGCACAGAAATTGTTACTAACAGCTACAGTGAAGCTGCCCTTGTAGCTCTGGGGAATAAGAGTAAAAAAGCATCTTGTCTGAGAGCTTTACAAACCCCATGCAAAACAAAATTCACAATGACCCTTAACTTTGTTTTTGCTTTTTTTTTTTTTCAGTATTATTAGGGAACTATGACAGAGAATCTCTACAGGGCAAAGAAAAAGGTTTTGTCATTTACAAAGGTCTCAGACACTGTAGATATAATTCACAGTGACGCTTTGCCCGTGCAGAATTGACTAAACGTGTCTATTAACATTGTTGTCTTCAGAAAGATTTCTGTAGCCTTACAGCAGGATTGCTGTGTATTCACTGAAGATGCCATGCAATGTTGTTATATCAAAATTATTTCAGAGCATGAGCAGAGCCATAAATTTCATTATTTCTGAGTGAGCTATTACATTCCCTGCCCAGGAGGTCACAAAGAAACACGTACCCTTTATGCATGTTTTGATTTTGATTCTCTTTATATTTTTACACCTTTGATCGCCAATGAGATTTTTTTGGAGCCCAGTTTATTTAGATCCCTATAGTCAATCAATTTATACTTCTGTGTTTAAAAGCTGGTTTTATTTTTAAACTTTTTATGAGTTTATTTCTTCATTGCTTTTCTATTAAAGATTAAATGACCAAATCTCCAATTATTAAGAGAATTAACTGGAGTTAGCAGTTATTGTAGAGTTAATAGTTTTACACATATACATGTATAAAATGAACCGTAAATTTTTAGGCAATTAATTCCTGTCCAAAAAATAAGAACAAAGCAGAAAACCAGGTAGGGAATACATGCTTTAGTTGTTTTTTTGTTAATAAGAATAATATAAAATTATCCTCTCTTTCCCAACATACAAGTCCAGCAGCAGGCTTTCTTTACGTAAAGACGTATTTTTATAGAATAACTCTAAAGCTCTCAGTCATGATTGGTTTTTCATAGGTTGTGTGGAATTTGTTTCATAAACATCCACATGCTAGTGAGAGTAAATTACATTAAAAGTATCTTTATACATTATAATATCATTGAGTGGCATGTTCTATTTGTAATTTGTAATCTCACTTTCAAAATTATTGACACTTTCATTGGCTCATGCCTTGTACTTTGACTTTGTATTCTGTATTAGCTGATTCTTCTTTCTTGCCAATGTTTATATAGTCTCTTTTCATTAGCATCTTCTTTTTCTTTCTTTTTTTTTTTTTTTTTTGCATGGTTACCTCTCCAACCACCCACAAAACTTGCTATACTCCTCATCCCTTCCTGCAGACCCGCTTCTTCTGTGATGCCTAAGCAAAAAGCTAACCAAGTCAAAAATAGCTAGACTTGTCATACACAGAGATTAGTATTTCTTTTCCTCACCTCTGTATGTTTGTTTTTTCAGGCGATAAGACTCTTCAAGGCAAGGGCTAAGATAACTGTCTTAATGTGTGTCTTCATTTTGTGACATTTTACATGATACGAGAGCCTATCCCCAATGCGTATTTGTATATATACATAGGAGGTTGCCTGTATGCTCTGCACCATTCTGCTTGGCATATGCAATAGTGATAAATATTGTTTCCCTTTGTGAACTTTTCATGGAATAATTGGTGCTAATACTGTTACTATCATGACAGAAGATAACTTTCTTTTTGCCATCTAACTTCAACACGGGAGATCTGAAGTAGTTTCTAAACAAAAATGCAGCATGTGCAGCTGAAAAAAAAATTCTGTTCATGTTGGCCAACTTGTAACCTTGTGAAAGCACGAATATTAAACCTCAATCCAGTATTTCAGGTGGCCTTCTAAATCTGTCCAGGCCCAGGCAGGTATCCGAATGTCACATTACCGTAGAAGACTAAACGCAGTTACATTCCCTAACGGGATGATGCTAAGGCTGCAGTGCTGGCAGACCATGTCCTTTAAGGAACGTTTGCTTGATCCTCTCTTTCTCAGGCTGCAGTAAAAGCTGTGGTGGCATCAACTCGCCTCGGCAGCGCCAGCGGTCACAGCACGCATGATAGCAACAAGCCCAGCCGTAACCCGTCTCCCATCCATGACTGCAAACCCGAAGAGAAACCCACTCAGGAAGCAGAAGCAACTCCAGAAGAAATGTCTTAGGCCAATGTGCTTCCCTGTTTCAGCTGAGATCTGTCATTTCATACACCAGCTAACTTGTCATTCAGCAAGAGAGATTTGTAAGCTTGGCCTCTCTGGTTCTGCTTTGGGGTACCAAATGCACTGGCTGGTGATTCTACCTTCAATGCATGTGACTGCTTATGAAAATAGTAAACTGTTCCATAAGGCATGTCATGGAAACAGTGTTATTTGCAGTAATACCGGCAGGTGAAAACATGGGGATGAATAACTACCTACCATAATGCGTATACTTCATATACATCTATCCAGTGTTTCTAGATGGCATTTGAAACAAAATACTATTTAATTTGGTTTTATGAAAGTAGGTGTCTTCTGTATGTCGTGAGTTTCTTTGAACTGCTTCCTTCCAGATTCATAGTCCTGCAGCAGACAAAATGGAAGGAAATACCAAGCCAATGCTTTTAAAACTCATGTATGAAATAATGCTTTTTATGTGTAAAATTCAAAAAGTATTTGGGGATTTATATGCAAAAAACATTCCACTACTTCTGGGAAGAAATTGAAATGTTAGTTCCACTGGGCATGAAAACGTACGTTCCTCAAGCTTGTGTTGAGAATGCCTTATTCTGCCTTTTCCTGTTTATATACAGTATTTTAATGACAACCAAAATTACTCAGATTTCTGCCATTTCATTATCTAGTAAAGTGTTAGCAAAACAAAACGATAGAGGACTGAAAGAGGATTACAGTAGATGCAAATTTTTGAAATACCGTTATATTTATTCATTAATTTCTAAACTGTGCAGCTAGAAGACGTTTTTATAGGGCCTAAGGGAATAATCTGCAATTATACAAGCTGTAAATGTTTGAAGGAAGCTATTCCACAACTTAATGATTTTGCTCTGGGGAAACACTCTTATACAAGGTCTAGGAGCAAGCAATATAATCCAGTTGCTTCCCAGATAGTTTAACCTCATAAGTAACCAGTTTCCACTTGTGAGCATAATTAGTCCAGATTTTCCTAACAAAGGACTCCTCCTGTGAAGTGATCCACCACCACAGATCTTGCATCCACCCAGAGCTCCTGTGTCTTAAGTTAAAAGCTTAAGTGCATGGGTCAGCTTGCAAAATTAGGGTCAGGCTCTTCAGCTATCTTGATTTTTTTGTTGAACATAGTTGATAGGAATTGAAAAACTGACATGCATCAGTATGTATGACTGTTTACATTTGTTTGTTATCGCTTTGATAGCACATGAATTTCATAATGTTATTGATATGTTACAGAAATGGCAAAAAGAACTTGATGTACAACAATGTCATTTGTGTTTGTTAAACTTTTTAATACTGATAGTTGCCTAACACCCTAATACACTCAACATTCCTCTTTTGCTTTAATTGTTTTTAAGTTAAGCCTTGCACAACTTGCCTTGAAAAAAAATATCAGCTACTGAACAAACAAGTCATTAATAAAACATTCAGTAGCTACATTTCCTGATGAAATTAAAGGGTAATACAATGTTATTCCTACGGTAGGTTTGATAAATAAAATGTAATCTAGATTAATATAAAAAGAAAGATTAAAGATATTGTCTTTACTAGGTGAGAATGCATGCTAATGAATGTATTGTACTTGAGATTTTTTATCCGTTTCTTATAACTCTTTGAACTTCTAAAAAAAGGTTTGCTAATTAAGCGCGGTTGAAATTTAAAGTATGTGCATCCCTCCTTTTCCCAGGTGTCACACTTTGAGGTCAGCTGAAACAGCTGGTGGGGGCATGGCAGGTGTGAGCAGGCCAACAAGACACTTTTGCAGATTTTCCCTTGAGAACAAGTACAGTAAGACTAATCACTTTGGAGAAAGTGATAGGTACATCCACCTGTCTGACTTTTTACTGTCTGTCTTATCTCCTGCGAGGCGACTGCAGGACGAATGCATTTCTCAGCCACAGGCCTCCTCCCCCGGTTACAGTGGTGAAGCCATGCGAGTGTGGTCAGTGCGGAGGTTTGACGGGAGAGGTTGGATTTCTGTAACGTTTCCTCCTTTGTTTGGAGTAGTTGCTTCTGATCTGCAGAAGTGGGGCCGGCTGCACAGTCATTGCACACCTATGCGTGCTTGAGCGAAATATCTTCATCTGAGACATGGTTTGTTGAGCTAAAAAGTAGTCCCAGCTGATTCTTAAGTTTACTCTTCGCTGAATTTGCATATCATAAATATGAACTGATGCCATGCAACTGGAGACCTCTCTGTGACAGCATGATCTTGGTGGCAGCTCATTCTTGTGCATAAAGGCTCTGGGGCTTCAGTTGGTTTTGCTTAGTTTTCTCTTATTATGCTCAGTATGAAACAATCAGCATGTCTGTGCTGCATGAATTACCAATATGTGACTCAGTAAAGTAGTATGCCTACTCATGTATGACAGTACTACACAGAAGGAGGAACAGCGCTAGGGTGTATGCATGTATAAATGAAGAAAGGAGTGTTAACGTGCATTGTTTACATCTGAAAAATCACATCCCGGTGGCATCTGCCATAATTCAGACTTGGGAGTGCAACACCAGTGTCTTACTGCCACTGAAAAATATGAACGCACCCAAAAACTACTGAAGGTGGACCAGTTCCACATCTGTGGTTATAAACTAGGTAGAAAATTACTGATGCTCTTTTCTGTTGAAATCCTAAGCTTTAAGTTTTTAAAATGTTCAACGTATTAGCAAAGTCCTTCAAGTACTAAAGGGGGAATCTTGCCATCTTTTTGAAGTATTTGAACTTAGCAAAACTTTTCCTTTAGAGGCAGATTGTAGTATTAGCCAATTAAAGTCTAATATTTGAGAGCTAGGCAGAGGATCTGATGGCTGTTAAATAGCTAACGTCCTGCCTTTGCACAACAACAGGGGTTTTTACAAGTTCAGAAAGATTCACTCCAAAATAGAACAGATTTCCTGTCATTTTGAACACTTTTGCTTGCCACTTTGCGGATGACACAGTAGATTGCACTGCACGAGCCTGGTGTTGGTTTGTTAGCTGAACTTTGTACTTTGCATTGTGCAAGCATGCTGTAAAGACACAGATGTACCGTAATCAAACTTTTGAATGCAAAAGAGCATCGAGGCAAAAGTTTGTGATACAGCACGTGCTTCAGAAGAAGGGTACTAAGGGCTCCATCCCCGTGAGCAAGCAGGCTGTCGGGCACGTGGAGAGGAGTGACAAAAAGTGCCCCCCATCCCCTTTGCAAGGACCCCATGCCTCGGTGAATAAAGCAAAGTGCTCTGAAAAGCCATGTGGTACTAGAGCAGGATAAAAGCAGCAACCAAAAAGTTTTTGGAAGGGGCTTAGATCAGCAGGGAGTCCCAGGCTGGAGGAGGCTGTGGCTGACGGGCAGCCGGGCCTCAGCACTTACCAAATAAAGATCCTTCTCCTACAACTTGCACTGCGAGTGAAACACAGACGCAGCTGGCAGCTGTGGGGGAAGTGAGGACAACGCCGCATTTTTTGCAGCCCAGCAGCAAGGAAAGGGAAGAAGATGCTAGGAGTTGTCAGTGTCCAACTTAGCAGATGGATAGCAGTATCTGCTAAGCAGCAAATGCAGGAGGACTCTGGAGAAAAAAACACCCATTTCCAAATAACGATTGGCAACTATCGCTCAGCTCCCGCACACATCCACACATGCTGGGGCATGCTGTTGTGTAGAGCCCTGCAGTGCAGCTCTTGGGGG